GGGAATCGCGGCCTCGCAGGCGTGTGGGCGTCAGGCGCCTCCCCCTTCCCCTCCCCACTCCCCCAGTCCCACGTCGTCGGGCTGAGGCTGCTGTGTCGCCGCCGGCCGAGGTCGTCAGCACCTGACTGGCCGCCATGCGAAAGTGGGGTGTATTTGCTCCGTCCCGATCAGGAAATGCTCACTGTGCTTACTCATCTGGATCGAGCTTGTTTACTGGGCGGCTGTGGGACCGCTGCCGGGAGGGCGGGACTCATGGCATGCAGGGGAGATGGCGATGCGGCACCGAGCGGCCGGAAGCGCCGGGCAGTGGGGCCTCCGGGCAGCAGCGAGCCTCGTTAACCGGTCACGCGGTCATGGCCGCGGTATGTTTTCACAGCTCGCGGGCCGCGGTCGTCGCCTCGCGGGCGACGAGTGACGCCGGAGGGGGGGGGGGGGGGGGGCTGGCGGCGAAAGAGCGGGAGCTGGCGCCGTCGCGCTGGCGGCCGCGACCGACACCGCGGCGGCGGCCCGTCTCGACTCGGAAGCGATCAGCGTGTTGGCAGCGCAGCGGCGCCTCGGCGTTCATCAGGCCGGTGCTGAGCGGGCGACGGTGCGGATCATCGCCGCGCACCGGCCGCCGCCAGCGGGCGCGGGCCGCGTCACAGGTGGGCTCACCGGACTGACAGACGGCCCGGTGGCCGGCCCGGCCGCGCCGCCGGAGCGGCCGGCGTCAGCCGATCGGGCGGATACGGCATCGACGGCCGGAGCTGGCCGGTGTCGTCGGCGCGCGCCCGCCGCTGGACCTGACGCAACGCAGGCCGGCGACGTCCGGGTCCGCCGCGCTGTGGCGGCGGCGGCGGCGGCGGCGGCGGGCCTGGGGCACCCACGAGCCCCTCGTGTATATATATATATATATATATATATATATATATATATATATATATATATATATATATATATATATATATACCCGCTCGGGCCATATAGCAGCAGTATATCGTCAGTGTCGAGTTAGTGAAGCCTGCGAAAAGATAACGCCTGGTTCTCTCGCCGTTTTGGGAGAGCGCGGCTGACTTGCCAACCTCGCTCTCCCGTGGCCCGAAGGAGGCGGTGTCTCCTTCCACAGTTCCGGCCGGGGGGGCGCCGCCCCTCCCCTGGATCCGCCACTGCACCCGGTCGCCGCCCGGCCGGCGGAAGACCGCCTCGCCCCTTCCGGCGCACGCGTCGCGCGCCCCGCGGGACCGTCGCGCCCGCTCACCGCCGGTCTCGCGGGACGGCTGAACAGCGCCGAGCCGTCGGCGGCGCGCCGCCTGACCGCCGCCGCCGCCCGGCCTCGGTGTCCGGTGGCCGGCCGGGGCCGGCCGTGTTTACCGCGGTCGCGCCCTGGGTGCGGAGGCGTGTTTGTTGTGGCCCGGACGTCTCCTGACGCGGAGAGGAGCGTCGGTGGGCCGCTGGGCAGGTGTTCGGCGCTCGGGGGACGGCCGCGCTCCGGTGTGGTGGTTTTGAGGCGCTCGGGCGGAGGGAGCTGAACAGCAGCGAATAAGATTAACCGCATTGGCATCAGATGTCCTCGAACGCTGTTTGGTAAGACGTGGAGCGGAACAAGTCGCCCTACTTTTCTGATGTCCATCAGACAAATTCTCAGCCGGCCATCGTCCCATTTTTTTGTCTTCATTAAATTCTGAGAATCTCCCTTTCATCATCTCATGCTTACGTGAGCTTCTAAGTGCGGTTCTGTAAACAAGAGATCTTTCCGCGGCGGAATTTCGAGAACCGCAGCGGTTTCGCAAATCGGTGATTTATCAGGGCGTTTGACGGGACAGTAATATGCACAGGCTGCACGGCGTGGCGCGGGCACCTCACTGTCGATTATTGCGTGCAGGGGTCATGTCGAAAACAGCGCCGGCGTGCACGTTCTCCTTGATCCGCGTCACGTCCACGTGTGGTTGTTTGTTCCGATGAGGAAGTGGGCGCGCCGCCCTTGTACACTCGTCCTCCTCGACAAAGATCGCGATGTCCTTATGCGTTGGGCCTCGGGGCTGCATATCTGGAAAGCCTGCCGTGCTGTAAGCACTGCCCTAATCGGATCTCGCTGTGCAGCGGTCATATCGGATGATCTTGGCCCGCCTGGCAATGCGCTCAGGTCAGAGCCTTTTGGGGATCACTCAGCAGGGATGATCACCGGGAAGTAGTCTGCCATGTGATTCAGTTGGGCCGTGGGGTCTGGCGCGGCTGTCCCTCTCGTGTTCAGGCGGCAACGGCCCGGCGCGGATCGTAATAGAGCACGGCTGAAGGCAAACTTTTCGGACAGCGCTGCCGTCTCGCTGTTTTAGGGCTTTTGGTGACATTTTTGTTGACTGGTTGTATTGAAGAGGGAAGTAGTTCGGGAGGGCGGGGACAACTCTTCCGATTATCTCCGATTGTCTCGGATTGTCTCCATGCATATGGTTTCTGTTGTCTGCACCCGCGTATAGATGAGTGTGACGTCATTCCTTATGCCGTCACCCATTGGCACGGCTGCCATCGGGCATTCTGGCGAAATGGGCAATTCCATCGGACGTGTGGTGGCTTACTCTGCTCAGCTGCCCCTCCCTCGGCGGGATGGCACGTCCCCGGTGGCCGACGCGTCGTTCGCGGCCGGCAGCTCTGGCGTACTCCACCAGAAAGCCTTCCCGTGCTCCTGTCCGACTCGGTCGGCGCGCGCTCCGTCCAGCCGGTGGCGCGGGTGACGGCGGCGGGGGGGGGGGGGGGGGGGGGCACGCCACGCGCCGTCCGGTCCGTCCCGCCAAGCATCGGGTGCATCGGTGTTTCATCAGGCTCTCGCGCTGGCATGTACGGAGCTTCCGAGTGCGACCCGGGTTTCGGGGCCGCGTGGTTCCGACGGGATCGCGTACACGTTCAGACAGCGGCGCGGCGGGCGCCGCAGACGTCGCAGGACGGTCCCGCGAGATGGCGCCGCCGTCGCGGCCGCGGCGTCGGGCTCCGTCGGGCGGGAGCACCGCACCTGGCGGCGAGCGGACAGGACAGGTGCCTCCGAGCGGACACCGTCAACGGGCCTCACGTGTCGCACTCGTCCGATAGGGGACGGGTGTGGTTCTCAGGGCGGACGCCGTCGGTGGGCCCCACATGTCCCACTCGCCGGACAGGCGCAGGAGTCGCGCCTCATGATGCAAGGGCTGATGGGCATTCGGATGCGCTTGTTGAAGAAGAATGGCGGTACGTTGACCTGTTCAGTGGGTCGTGTGGACCGTTTGGGTTGCACCCTCGCAAGGTAATCCGGCCCACCCTGCCGCCGATGACTGTCCGGTGGCACGGCAGCCGTGTGGTGAGCGCCGTCTGCCTCCGGCCGGCCGGTGCGGCGCGGACCGGTGCTATGACCTGACCTGACCGAGGTGTGACCTGACCTGACCGATGCGTGACCTGACCTGACCGGTGTGTGGCCCGACCTGACCGACGTGTGACCTGACCTGACGGGCGCCGTGACCTGACAGGCGCATGACCTGCCCGGCGCTTGATCTGACCGGTGTGTGACACCCGCCGGTCAGCTCACCGAGGCGAACGCGCCAGGCGGAGGCTGTGCCGGGGATGCGTCTGCTATTAAATTGCCCTTCAAAACGTTGCGAAGAATTCTGACAAGTCCTTGGAGAACCCACTTTGGGGTTTTGTTGGGGAGGTTTAGCCACTTTCACCGCCCCTCCCCCCCGGAATTTGTTGGGCGAGACCACTCTCCTCTCAGTGGTGTTGCCGCCGCACAGGTGTTGGCGGTCAGTGAGGTCAATGTTAGCGGGCAGAGAGGCAGACGGGCATGCCAGTTGGAAATTATCCCTCGGGCGCGAAATGCTGTCAGCAGGGCCGCACTTTAAGCTCCCGCACTTTAAAGCTCCAGTTATTAGTCAGCGCAACGGTCAACGATGGCGGCGATTATCAGCGGCGGGCGGTATTTGTTTGCGCTGGCTCGCTCGCGCTCTCCGCGCGGCGTGGCGCGGAAGCGGTTCGGCGAAGTCGGGCAGCCGCCGTGGCCGGCGAACTCGGCCGTGTGCCTGCGTCGGGTGCCCTTCCCGCGAATGTCGAGTGCCCGGGGGGCATTCGGCGAACGCTGCGATGGTGGTCCCCCCTCCCCGCCAGCGTCCCCGCCCCCGCCCGCCCGGTGTCCGGCATCGTATCGCTGCGTCGGACTGATGACGGATGGCTGAACCAGCAGGCAGTGTATTTGACGGCCCTGGGCGCGGCGGCATCGGCAGTAGTTGGCGGCAGTTTAATCATATGCAGTGGAACGTACTTTGCCCGGTACCGCAACTTTGAGTTCCCATTTCGCTGCCGTGCTTCGCTAGTCTGACTTGCCGGGTGTGTTACTTCCTGAATGCGCGGCTCCTCGTGCGCTCCGCGCTAGCGGCTCCGCTGCGGCCGCGCGCCCCGCTTCCGGCCGCCGCCTCTGCGGGCGGCGAGCTGCGCGCCCGGTCCTAACAGCGGCCATTGACCCGCACGCACGTGCGCCCGATCAGCTGATCGGCAAACTCGACCAAGGTCAAGGCGCGCGCGCGCCGCCCCGCCCCGCCCCCGTCCTCCCCGCTGGCGCCGGGCGATGTGGGTCAGGCGTCGGCTGTGACAGGGGCGTCGAGAGCGAGCGGAGGATCGGGATGGTGCGTGGCGTGCGGCGCCCCCCCCCCCCCCCGCACGCCGGGCCCGCGGCTGGAACGTCGCAGCGATTCGGACCTAGCAACACAGATTACGGCGTAAGGCGGACGCCTGCCGGCACGTCGTAATTCCCGCGCTGTGTTACGGCGGCGGGCTGGGGATTTCCGCGGGCCCTCGGCGCGCCGCGGTCGCCATGCGGTGTTTGACGGATGCTCGGACAGGAACTGCGGAATACCCCCCCCCCCCCCCCTCTCCTCCCCCCGCGCCTCGTGAGCCGTGAGCGGCGCGCCTGCCCAATCCGTCTACGCCGGCGCGCCGCCAAAGCCGTCCTGGGCAGGCCTCTGGCAGGCGCTCTCAGGGACGCCATGTTGATCGCGTGACGTCACGGCTTCAGTGAGCTTGCAGCGGTGCCAGTGGGTGGACGCGGCCCGGCGGCGAGCAGATCTCCCCCTGGGTGCCGAGCCGTGACGCATCATGTGCAAGTTCAACTTGGTGGACGCCATCAGCACGAGTATCGGTGAGCGGCCGGAAGGCGAGGTCGGAGGTCAGGCCGCCGGGTCGGAAGTCAGGCGACCGGGCCAGACCGGTGCCGCCCCCGGTGTTGGCTCCGTCCGCCCTCTGCCCCGATTGCCGGTTCTGTTTCATCTGCTCCTCCCCCGTGTCACGTTAGTGTCAGGTTCGGGCAGCCATAAGCGAAGAAGAGTTGAGTGCGAGAGTGTCATTGAGCGTTTTTTAGAAAGGCGACGTTGGCTCTGTGATCGCGCAGCGCACCAGATATGCTCCTCACCGGGGCCGCCTGTCCTGCGTCTGCATCCGCGCGGAGCAGCCCAGACCACGCGGTGCGTGGCTGGCCGGCAGCCGTCGCGGTGCGGTGCGGTGCGGCCCGGGGCGGGCCGCGCTGGGACGCGTCGACTCTGACGCGGGCGGTCACGCGCAGACGACGTAACGGCGCTGTGAGAGCGCGCTGACGTTACTACTCCGCGGTCGGGACGGATGGGGCGTGGGAGCGGGCGGGCGCGGAGGCGCGCGAGTGCGGCGATGCGGAGGGTGGTGAGCGGACGGTTGGACGGCGGTCGGGCGCGCAGAGGCCGGCCCTGCGATCTGGTGTGAGGAGAGTGAATCAGAACAGACGGGTTCAAAGATCGGCTTGTCGTCCTTGAGATGGATGCTCCCCGATATGAAAATGAAGCGCCGAGGGCGTTTTGGCTTTGGCCTTGTTGGTGCTTCTGCTGCAGTTATTCTACCTTTATCATACGCTTCTGACTGGCAAGTGGCCGTGAGCTTTGCCTTGAAGTGCGGTCTTTTTCATAATATATCCGAACGATTGCTGATGGCGTCGTTTCGCGCCTACCTTGTAGCCCATTGACATCGATTATTTTCCGCATAAGAATTTAACAATATCTTACATTGGCCTCCGATTGTGGAAACCCCTGCAACTTTATGCACTAGCAGTTGTCCTTGACAACCCGTTTCGATTGTCCTTCCCCTCCGAAACAGCTGCCGGCCCGCCTCCGTTCGTGCTCAGATGCATGTGGAGGCGTCCTTGCGTGCCGTGATCAGGCAGCGCGGGTTTCCCGAAGTAATCATATCGCGTTACAGAAACGGGTGTTTTCGTCAGCATCGGCGATAGGCACGCCTTGGAACTGTTTCCCGGCAACTGGCCGAACGGACGCTGGAGTCCTTACAGCAGGCTGGTGATCAGCGCGACCCGCCGGCGCGGCCAGTCAGCCGCTCTTTTCAAAAAACGGAACGGTGCGACAGGACTGTCTGAATGGTCCGGCAGCAGCGCGGTACGAACGAAGGGACGCGGTGAGATCAAGCCAGCTGTTGGTTTCGTTAATTTCTGTTTGCGGTAACGCGCTTTCAGTCGGTGGCCGGATACGTATTTGTGTCGTGAGGAGGCGGTGTTAGTGTTTACACCGATAATTAGTGCATGTGGTTGAAACCGACCATTTCGTAGGCGTGAGAGCATTGAAAATTATTGCCAACTTATTGTAACATAATTATTTTGGTCGAAAGCTTTCATAGGGATCATGAATTACGGCTTGCGAATGTACCTGCTGCCTGACTTGTTAGTGGCTACATCGGAAATAAGTAGTGCCTGATGACGTTGCCCGTGGCTTTCTTTAATTTAACAAGGGTTTGTTGGGAACTCATTGTGTAATATTGATCGTGCGGGACGGAAGCTTTTTTGATTGTCGTGTATGTGGTGAGAACGGGCGGAAGGGGGTAGGTGGAGAGCGGGGGGAGGGGGGGGGGGGGGTCTACAAGACCAATCTGCGTTTTCATTGTGGGGCTGCTCAGTTCATGACGAGTCTCGCAACGCGTTGTGAAGCATCAGGCACCGCGGAAGTTAACAAACTCATGAGTGTTTTTCGTGCGCTCACTGTGTCCACTGCTGACTCAGGCCGCGTTGGCCGCGCGCCTCCCGAGCGTTGCGGCGGTGACCCCGGCCGACCTGGCCCGATGTACCGCCGGCCGTGTGCCCACTGTTGCTCCGGAACACAGAGGCCGGCACGGGGCGGCACAGTGCGGCACCCAGCTCGAGACCCGCAGGGCGGACAGGCTGCTCACAAAACCCGTCTGGAATGCGTCACGCCACGCCGATGGATGTTTCCATGACGGCAGGCGGCTAGGCTGTATTAAGCGTTAAACTGGAGTATTAAAAGAAAGAATGATCGCGGCGTCATTGAAAGGCGCTATGTAGCCGCACGGCACGGCCACGCCGGCCGACTGTCGGCACTCGCGGCCGCCGCGCGCCGCTCCGGCGATGTCACGCGGCGTGACGTGACGTGACGGGTCACGGGGTCGCGGAGACGCGGGACGCCGTGCCCCCGATGAGCGGCCGTCAGGTGACGGAACGTCGGCGCGCCGGCTGGGCGGACGCCAGCCGGCCGGGGCACGTGCCTCGGCCGTCCCGTGACGGCGCCGCCGCCGGTGCCGCACGGCCGGGGGGTGCGCGCGCCGGCGACAGCGGTCGCGCGGAGGTCGCGGCCGCGGCCGCGGGCGGCGGGCGCCGCCGGACCGGCCTCCGGCGGCCGCCAGTCGGGAGGTGTCGCGATGGGGAGCGGGTCGTGGCTTGGCTTCCCGATCCGAGTCGACGCTGTCTTATCGCAACCACTCGGCCCATAGACGTGCAGCGGTGTATTTAAGAGCGAGCCTTTGTCAGTATTGATAAGCCGTTACGCGGTTGTCTTCAGCCGGAACATGGCGTGGCATAGCGCCACAAATCATGACGGAGATCAGCAAGCAAATATCAGCCGGGCTTCCGTGGCTGAAATGGCAGTGACATCACGGTCTCCGCAGATTATGCTGAAGTGATCTGTGTGGCATCATTCGGTGTACCCCAGACAGACCCGCCCGTCACTTGACCGGACATGGCGCGTTATCTGTCGGGGATTGTTTTGGATCCGCTCTGCAGAGCACTAGTTTGTTGTGAGATGCCCGCCAGCGCACTGCCGATTAGCAACATGCATCACCGACGTTTTCATGGGCGGCGCCGGGGCGCTTCTGTTGCCGTTGAGGAGGCCCCTTCCGACATCTGTCTGCAATGACGTTGGGTATGGTCGAGCGCGCTCAACACGTTTGCCTGGCCACGCGGTGTGTCACGCACGCTTCTCATGAGATTCTGGCGCCAGGCTTTTGCGCTGTTGCCGGCGCGGGTCGCGGCGGAGGACGCACTGCTTTCTGCGCGGTTGGCCCCGGGCAGCCGGACCTGCCCGCTCTCGGCCGGCGTGACCCGGCGGCTGCCCGCGCTATTGAGTCACAACCGCACTGCACGCGACGCTGCCGGACAACGCCCGTCCAGAGGGCACGGGCGCGGGGCGGTGGAGGCCCTGCGCCCTGGGCTCGCTCCCTAATCCTCCGGAGGGGCGGGGGTCTGAGCTGCGGACCACGCCGCCCGTTTGGCGCCACCCCGCCAGCCGCCGCCCGCCCTGCCCACCCATGCGCCCGCTCCGGCTCGGCGGAGGGATGGTCAGAAGCTCAGCGATGGCACAGTGGAGGTGTTGGGTTTCAGTTCGCCGTGCTGTATGTTGTGCCGTTTGGCGCGATGCTGCACACGTTCAGTTCAGCGTGGCGTTACCACGCTAAGTGCGCTGAGTGGTGTTCCGCGTTAGCAAGTAACAGTCGCGTAAAAGTCCCACTGGTTATCAGCTCGAGTTTCGACGTTCCTTGATCGTACTGTATTCTCTTGCCACGCGCTTCAGCTATCAAACCTTTATTATGCGAAACGGTGGGGGATGCGTGGCGATGTACTGGACGCAAGGCACTCGGCGCATCGTGTACTAAGTTGCAAACCCATTTGGTGCGTGATGGCAGCTATATGTGAGGCCGTCTCCACCGTTCTGTCCATGTCGGCTGTCAGCGTTTTTGAAGACCCGTATTGAAGGCAAACGTTGCCACATGCATTGCTTTTTATGCGAGTAGATGCAGCTTGCAGAAGAGTATGGCGGGCATGAGCTGAAAGGGGAGATAGACGAACCGGGCTATGGAATCCCATTTCCACCTGGTTCTTTAACCAGGATGCCTAATTCAAAGGTGACAATGAAATATAAATGATCTATCTCACGTCTTACGTTGCCCATTTTGCGTCAATGAAAGGTCATGTTAGGATACAGCCACGTTTGCTCAGGGTTTACGATTGAATCAAGCTGTATTTCTAGTAACCAAACTCCGTAGTCACTGCTTTTGGGGCCTGTTTGTGGAAAATATCGTCCGACACCACGAAAATGTCATCCGACACCACGAAAAGTCGCGATATGTAAATTTAGTGTACATATCTTTTGTCCTTGCAAAACATGTGCATGGGATGAAGTGGCGTCTATCTATGCTGATGGCATTGCCATATACGTAGAATTGGTGGCTTTCTTCTCAAAGCATGGAACATTTTTTCAGCGTGAAATGCCAGACGTACGGCGAATGTTAAATTGTTGGCACAGACTCGGTACTGCAGTCAGCGGCCAGCACATCCAACGCCTCTCCAAATCCGATTCCAGCATTTCTGGTGTGGAATTGACTCCGCCCTGACTCAGTGAGACCCCAGAGGACTGGACTGGACTCCGACCGCAGTCGCAGCGGACTCCCAGGGGACCCCCATGCCCCAGGGGACTGGACTGTACTCTGACCGCAGTCGCACCGGACTCCCAGGGGACTCCCAGGCTCCAGCGGACTGGACTGGACTCCTATCGCAGTCGCAGCGGACTCCCAGGGGACTCCCAGGCCCCAGAGGACTGGACTGGACTCCGACCGCTGTCGCAGCGGACTCCCAGGGGACTCCCAGGCCCCAGAGGACTGGACTGGACTCCGACCGCAGTCGCAGCGGACTCCCAGGGGACTCCCAGGCCCCAGAGGACTGGACTGGACTCCGACCCCAGTCGCAACGGAGGGCCAGTCCGGCCCCAGCAGGGGTGTTTTCTTTTGTCGTTAATAGACGCACGGTCGAGCGATGCCAAGGAATTTACGACGACTATATTGAGAGCGCTGTTGCTGGTTGCCTTTGATGGAAGTTATCGTTGC